TATTGTAAAATTTGATTCGTAGAAAATTACAGAGATATTGCACATAGCAGACAGATCATCATGATTTAAGTAAAGCAGCTAGGCGTGGGCGTGGCCAGCACGAATGGCGATAGCATGCTACTATTGCATTATAAAGGGCGGGCAGTAGAAACACTCACTATGTACACTGTACTAAAAAATTCCTTGAGAGGGTACATGTTTCTCGTATAGTTACATTCTTTAATTCGTATCTATTTAAAAAGTCTCATTAGATATATTGGTTTTCACAAAACTCATATATATATATATATTGCATTCCATTTTCTAGCGGTGTATCGATGATAAGACCGATTAAAGCCCAGGATCTAAATATTACTTATCTTCCTCTCTTAGCCAACCCCCCTTCTTAGAGGTCGTGTTTCATGACTTGTATTGATGCGTATTTGACGTCATAGCCGTCATATTGGTTCAGTTAAATCGGCAAAATATTTGGATTTTTGCTGTCTTTTATCCTATTATCATCATAGGACGGGATGCACGCCACCTACTGATATCATTCTTTCGGTTATTAGAACGTTACGAACCATGCTTTGGTCCTTTACTTCTGGGTAGAGGAACTGGACGACGCCACGCGGGGCGGTTATTGTCCTCGATCAAGTCACGTGATCCAGACCCATTATTTTGTTCCTGTTCATACAAGGGTGTCATTGAGTACCAAGAACATTCCGTCGCACCAGGATTCATTGACATATTTTCCTGTTCATTATTCCCAAATTCTTCCCTTGTATACAACGAGCCTTGTACAGGCTCCCCTCCCACAGCGCCTCCATCCTCTTGTCTTTGTACTCGCAGATTAGCATTTGCCCGAGAGGCTGGCATTGGATACGAAGAAGTTTGTGTGAAGTGGGTAGATTCACCGTTACTTGAAGATGAAGCTGGACTAGAATCCTTGTTATTGTTTTTTCCATCTCCCTTCGGAGGACCAGGTAACGATGGCCACTCACGGTTATCAGGGGATAAAGTACTACCGTCATTTATATTATTGTAAAAGGAATCTGAAGTCTCGTGATCGTGAAGAGAAAGAGAAGAAGAAGACTTTAAGTTGATTATCGACGTGGAAGCATAAAGAGCGAATTCAGAGTTTTCTCGTACTAATGTCGGGTTGCCTGTTTCTTGAGTGGGAAGGGGAAGCGGAAGCGGACGCCTTTGGCAAGGGATTCCTGTTTGAAAATCAAGCAAATCAAAAAAAGTAATCATACGTAGATTTAAATCAAAGATATACAGATTGTTTAGTAGAGCAGATTTCTAAGGAATATTTAACTAAACAAACCATTCATTAAAGCAAGGTCTGCTATTGTGTCGCTTACCAGTGAAAGGGCGCCATCATGCAAGGTCAGTACAGGCAAATGAGTCAACTCAAGTGGGATTATTTGTAATGTTAATGTAACTGTCTAGATTCTTATGCAACCAGATATTATACAGCCCTAGATGTGACTCAGTACAAAGCTGAATCGATACAATTAACAATTATTGGTAGCGCATAATTTAATTGGCAAAATAAACTGAGAATACATCACATATTACTGACAACGTTGTAAGGAAATTTATTTACCTAAATTCGGAATTTGTTCATAGAAACTGTGTTCAGGAACCTTGCTTTTGAAGGCCTTGTTAGAGTCATCAATCTCGTAATAAAGTTCTTCTTGGTCTTGAAGAGCTGGTTCATTATCTTGGTCTTCAACAGAGTCTTTGTTTCCAGGTTTGTATGCGTAAGTGTGCTTCATAAAGACTTCGACTGGTACTGACTTGCAAAGTTCTTCAAAGGTCTTGTGTTCTTCCATGGGAATCACATGACTAGCTCCTTGTGGTTGTGTCTTGTTGGTATTAATGTGCTCAGCCTCGTTTGGGTGTTTTTYGATCCAGAAAGAGAGCAAGCAAGAATCGAATGGTTTTCTGTCCAAAAGAGAACAAACATGATATTTTTTTCATATGAATCGCATATATTTGGCCCATGGAACAGAGTCCACCAACACCGCTAGAATATCCTGAGAACTACCATTGATAGTACGATATTAATCTTACCGAAATCCTTATTCTGCGTCCAATGTGGGTGGGTAAAAGGGCTTATATATTGCTTGGGTCAGTCTCAGTTTGATTATTCAGGGAAATAAGTGAATCATATCAAATAGTAGACTAATGATTTTAGTTGGCTATTGCCGAATCAAGTTTATGCACTCGTTCAGTCTTACCTGGACGTTAAAGCATCTACAATCAGAACAAATGGAGGCCGTTCAGCTGCCTTATGAAGCAAGCACTGTTTCACAGCTATGTAAACCCATGTTGGCATACGTTCTGGCCTGCATGGACGATTGTTGCCTTCGAGGTAAGCAAGAACCTAAAAATGAGAAGGTAGAAAAGATGTTTTCAAAACTGATAGTATAGTAGATTGAATACAAAAAATCCGGCGCGTACTAAAGAGCGAATAAAGGCTAAAACTTTTTATAATCGTAGGTTTGGATTCGGGGTCGCATTGTGGCTATGTTAACAAACCTGATCGTCCTTGATGGTAGCAAAGGGTTTTACGTCTTCTGCTTTACTCCCTTCTGCAGCAGATAGAGCACTAAACAGCTCGAAACACATGATGGCAAATGAATAGACATCACTGCTGTGTGAATAAATGCCGTCTTTGATTACTTCTGGAGGGCTCCTGCGATAAGAAAGAAAGGCATGCATTGGTGCTTGGACGAAATATGGTTACTGGCCGATGAAGTAATACAAAACTGAATAAATCAATGCAACAAAACAAACCATTTTTAAAAGTAACTCATTCTTTATATTGTTTTTGTAGTCTCTTTAAACAACATTGCGAATGAAAAATCGAAGCCGCCATGTTGGATCGTGACAATTCAAAGAAAATATGATGACAAAGGTATAAATAGTGTTTATTATTTATTACCCGGGGGAGGTCTTTTGTTGCAATACCATAAATACTACCTGATACCGCCCCCCACCCGCAAAAACACTTTCTTAAGTCTTCGAGTTATTGCTACTGAGGGTTCCTCTCTTCGATACCTGCCAATTTTACCTGATCATCCCTCCAGTAGTTTAAACAACATATGTGATCTTCCTATATTCTCCTACCCCCCACCCCCCTCCCCTCTTCCTTCACCTCTCCGGGAGATAAATAATGTCTGCTTCCCTTGCGTATCCAACGTGGCCGTTGATCTGAAGTAACAAGCATGCTGATAATTATTCAACTTACCATCTTACAGCATCTTCCGGCATTTTGCATTTAGTGTCCACCATTTTACCGACAGACTTTGATCGTCCAAGGCGCGCCAATTTTACCTATTTGCAGACGAATAAGATTTTTAAAACTAGTTCATTTCTCTCCCATCCCTTTCCATATAGTCCCAACGTTATGCAATTATGTCAACGCTTTAGCGACTTAATTTAAACTGCATTCAAGATTTGTATGGATATTTCATTTAGAAACAGTTCAATTCCAAGTCATTTTTATTATGCTAATTTGAATCATTAGTTATCATGGTCAGAAATCTTTGCACTTCCAAGTTAAACAGGTAAATGGCCAAGCCAACTGAAGAAGACTTTTGAAAGATCAAATATGAAATAAAATCAACAAACCTTATTGGTAAATATCATAATATGTTCTGCTCTCAGGTCACTGTGGATCACGTCATTGTCATGCATATATTCCATTGCTTGGGCTATCTGGGCAATGAAGGTCACCAGGGTTTCCCGTCGACATTGCTTGTCAAGTATTATCTTAAGCAAGTTTCCACGTCCTGAATCCTCCGTCACCTTAAAGAGAATCATAAATCCATATCACATCAATAATACCTTAACACCTTTTGACCCAATTAAACTGACACACGGTTGTCTCAGTTGGACACGTTGGGCATCTCTGACAGTTGTGCTGGAAGTTCAATCTAATATTAACAACCTGTTATGATTTTAAGCACCTTATACACTCGCAGTTGCAAAATCGTTGTCGGGTTCAAAAGAATAGAGAATAGAAGCTGACTCCTAAATGGTAACTGAGAAGTATGATAATTAGATGTATGATTAAATGTTCATAAATTGTACTAACAGATCGCATGGAGGCTTTTTGACACATGGTTTATACCGAATATTTAACAATGAATATATCAGAGGAAAATTTTCCAGAATACCTTACCGGTATAACTTTCTATGTTTTATATTTTGAACCCGACAATAATTTTGCAATTGAGTTTATAGAAAGGGCGCTGTTGCAAATCATAACCATCATCTTAATCATAACCATAGTTCTTCAAACTTATTCTTCTATTAATTTCCAAATAAAAAGGCGGTTTAATGATGTTCTACAATCCAATAAGCAGTAAAAATGAAAAATATATCAATCAAGCAATTAATGCATCCATCTGCCATCCATCCGTCCGTCCATCAATCAATTTGAATAGATAAATCTCAATTTATTTTACGTAGTGATATAGGGAGTCTCCCTTCAGCCAGAGGGAAATATTTATGTGTACGATGCACTCCATACTCACTAACTCTAAACTCAGGAGTAGAACAAGAAGACTCACCAGTGCCGTGTAACGTTCATCGTGATTGGAGAGCGAATGAATAACCACAATGTTTCTGTGCTTGAGGTTCTTCAATATCTCTAAGTCTGCCTGTTTTGTCTTCTCAACAAGTTCTCTGATAACTCGTACCTAAATCCATAAAATCATACATTCGGTCTAATCAATTACATTACATTAATCAAATACATCTTAGGGTCCAAATCGAACTAGCATATCTTTATTCATGCTTGCTTACCCCGTTAGCAAGACGAATGATTGGTATATCATGCGATCTTGTTGGAGATCCGAAGAATCCTATATTCTTTTCTTTGTCGCGGTCTTCAAGTGCACTACTGCTGWTCATCTGCGTATTCAAAGACATTCACCAGATACCATTATTAAATGTAATTGCAACTTGTTTATCGTGAATCTCTTACTTCAGGATATTTTAGCACTTAGTCAATTGCTTTACTGTATGCATGAATTAAGCAACAGTAATACTGAAATATTAGAATTTCATCTAAAAGGATAGACCTGAAAACTCGCTACCTTTCTGCTCTTATTAAGTTTTCCGCCTCCATGTTAAAATCTAACTTTGTACTAAAATGTACGGCGAATTAATTTTTTGATTGAAAAGCATTCAATCAATAAAGATAATGACGACAACTAGATTTCTAAACGTTTTGGTGCCTTCAGGCATCATTCTAAGATTCACCCGCCTTACACATAACAATTTTTCAAGACCAGGATATTTCCTATTTGCCTCAGAAAAAAACTTTTTAAGTTAGAAACTGAAGAAAAGAAAAATAAGCTAATTACCGTGTCTTTAGTCTGCGCCAGGTCTACAATTGTAAGAGAAGGATAACTTGCAGGTGGGCAATCGTTGTCTACCAGTAAAAGAAAGAACAATATTTATGATAAGCATAAAATATGGAGGAGAAAGATCAAACCGTCTTTTGAATCAATTACACTGCTTTATTACCTTCTCTCTTAAACTGCTCATAAATCATCTCCAATTCCATCTTTAGCTGCATCAGATCGATTCTTTTCTCTCTCTCGTGCTGAATGCACTTTTTTTCAATTAGGTCACAAACTTCTTTACGGATGCAGTCCTCCATTTTTAGTTTTCCTCCACTTATCACCTGTTAAAAAGCAATTGCAATCAATGATCAGTGAATTATTTGCATGTACGAAGAATAACTATAAGAATAACTTACATGGTTTCGGATTTGATCAGCTTCATGATTTCTGTATTGATTGTAGGGGGACACGCCGTAGGTGTGCATTTCAAACAGCATCACTCCAATGGCCCAGGACACTGACTTCTCTGAAAACTGTCCCAATTTGAAGCACTCGGGGGCTGCATGTCGCGTTGCCATTTCATCAAGAACACTTACGTACTCATATATGCCATTGCCCTGAATTACATAAGATCATAACAAACTGAATAAACTATAAAATTCAAAACTTAGTTTGTTATTCCATCTCAGTGACCGGATGACACTGACTCCTAGTTTTCCTCACAACTTGAAGGTATCAACAGACTTTCAAATACCTGTTTCGTCATTTCTCTTGTAAACTGGAAGCCAGTTAATTTACAGACGTTGTCCTGGGCAACCAGTACATTGTCAGCCATGATAGCAAGATGTACAAGATGGTGGTCATTCAGGTAGATTACAGCATCCATGACACCAAGGATCATCTTGACTAACTCTGATGGACTTGGCATGTGGCCCAAATGCGATCTGTTATAGGAAAAGTTCAGAGAGACTTAGACAAAGAATGCCATAAAAGATCCCAAGAAATATACAGAGAAACTACGATATTGCCCCTAAGAAATGCTCATCCCCTATGCCAAGCTAAACCTCAAAGTATATGCTTTTGTTTTGGGTTCTGTGTCCTCGAAAACGTTTTTGTTTTGTGGAAATGAGTAAGACTTTTTGAGTTCCGCTTTTTGCTTTTACAAACCTTGAATTTTGCAAGAACTTCAAGAGAGAACCTTTAGCAACCTGTTCTGTGATGAGATGATATGGCTGAGCCGAGGTATCGTAAGCAAAAACCCTGAGTATGTTAGGGTGTGGCTTCGAATTCAGACGTCTTAAGGTGTAAGCTTCAATGACAAGTTGATGGTGGATTCTGGTTGGGGCCATTTTCTCCTCTCCTAAGATGTCATCTGAAGGAAATTCAGTTCAGTCCTTTGTATGAGATTTGTTCGTTTTATGATAAATCAAATCAATGAACATACGTACTGTGTCAAACAACTGGAAGAGTTGAGTTAAAATTCAGTAAAAGAATGGGAAGTGTAAGTAGGCTATACTGTCTACACTGAAGATCCGATTGCAAATCTTGAATTTATGGAAACGTACAAGGGAACACTACATAAAAAATCAAACATTGCTGCAGTACTACTAACCTGTAGACGATTCTAATATTTTAATCATCGCATTTTCCCCACGAAAGGTTGCTGAGTAGTACCCTTTTTTATTGGACTTCCCAATAAAATGAAGGGGTCTTTTGCTAAGTTGTCTCTTGTATATCTGTAGCAAATGGTCCATGGAACGAGTGATGGGAAGGAGTTCTTTTTCTCCTTTTGTTGGTTTTCCATCTCCTCCTTTTATTTCCAAATTATTTAGCATAATTTGACGACAGTTTCCAACTTGTCCATAAAGACAGCGGTGCAAGCTCTCATGTGCCCACAATTTTTCGCCTGAGTTTCTTTTGGTCAGGTTTGCGAAGTAATGAACGAGACACAAGCAGGCCTCAGTTCTCGTGTCTAGAATCATATAATCATAAGCAGGAACGTTTAACGTTGTGAATGCATGCTAAAGGTATTAGCCATTCCGAGGTCGAGTTGCCATTGCAGTGGACATTGTTTGACTGTTTTAGAAGACATTTTTATTCCGTTCCCTAAAAAACTCCCACGATATCAGCTACAACACCAACTTGATCCAGTTTTCTTCTTACCCAATGGTTAATAGGAATCTTTTTATGATTACTAAAATTGGTTGGTTGGTTGGTCTCAAATTATTATACGTACCTTTGTCTTGGTTATGATTGACAATGCCTTCCAACACACTGCCCAAAACAAGACCAGTTTGCCACTCCCCTTCACTTGACCATTTACGGGCAAAATCGGAATGAGACTTTAGGTACATCTCTACAAGAGTGCGTAATATTTCTATATTTCCTGGCCTTTCCTTTATCTAAGGGAATTCAAAATATGAGTTGGAATCAGTTGTGGTTTATTGTGTTGGTCTACTATAAACAATAATATGACTAGTCCAATATAATCTGGTTGAGTAATCAAGTACAAAAAATAAAATCCAAGCAAAGTTTCGGGTTAAAGAAAAAAAGATTGCATGGTATAATATAAATTGCTTCCCCGGAGCCGAAATTATTTTTGCCCTCGACCAATTAAAATGTTCTCGACCAATTAAAAGTTGTTGCCTCCTCCGCAGGCTACTTGCTAAGGTTTTTGTTGATTTGGTTTTTGTTGCTGTTCAAGAGGGTTGGGTATCCTGTGGTGAAAACGACGAAGACTAAGGCGAGCAGGGGACTAAAAGAAAGGAGCGACCTGCTCGGTCAACTCTAAGTCAACACAGGAAGCCCAATATAGAAAAAGAAGGCAAAGAGCAAAGAGACCCCTGCGGAGTAGGCTATAAAAGTTGGCTATTAGTCGTGCATGGCCGGCTAAATAATAGGGTTGCATAGAAGTATTTGTTTTGAGGCATACATTACCTGAGAACCCAGACTAAACACCACCACGTGAAAATCAAACCAGGCTTTCTTGGATGCTTTAATTTTAGAAAGGAAATCTCCGACACTCTTATTTCTTTTGCCTTTGTTTACCTCTCCTGTTCTGTTATGTTCTTGTAACCTTTTTTAAGGAAAGAAACTTGTTGTCAAGAAAACTGAACGGCGTAATGAATGCGCGGGTGGCTAAATGTAAGTGCATGTAAGCATAAGATTAAACCAAATATAAAAGAACGAAAGAAAAAAGGGCTAGGTCAATGATAAGCAAATATCCCACTTACCAGATCAGAAAGTTTTTCCATGCATCATTCTTCTTTTTCTGCGGCGTCTGCTTGACCCTTGCCTGTATTTCTTTGATGCAGCGTATTGCATAACGTGGCCACTCCTTTTCGTTAAACACATTTTGCTCTTGCACCTGAATTAGTTTCTGAACAACATCTTCGTACATGTCCTTCCTACCCAACTCTACTGGTGGAATCAACCCTTGTACAATGTTGACATAGAAAATCATCAGAACCCGACTATAAGCCAAAATTCTCAGGCCCTGATCATCCGCGATTTCGTGATCAAATACAGCGGTCTCTTCTTGCGCTTGACCAAGAATAGAGTCTCTGAGATTTGATTCACATTTTATAATGAAATCGTTAAAGATTCCACTTGAGTCGTAGCTCGTCGTTGATAATATGTCCAGTATCATGTACAGAGCGTGTCGAGTTACCAAAGAACACTTCCTGCAACAGGAGAGTGTCACAAGAATATTTAGAATGTCTAGAGTTATTCCAGTCTTGGCCAGCTTTCTCTCTAGATATGGAAAAACCTTGTGGAGCAAGAACTGCACGCGTTCTGAATTATCTTCATCGGCCGGAGTATTGTCAATATGTGACAAATATTCCTCATGATTCTTGATAAATTCCTCTAGTGTGGTCTTGGTGTCTAGAAAATCACAGGAAAACAGCGCTAGTTGTTATAATCTATGCAAAAGCATTCAAAGATAATGAAATAACTGATTCAAATAAGAAGGCTCTATCAGCAGACTTATATAGATATTCTGAAAACAAAAATCACAATATCGATCTTTATAATACTTTTTTCATATTGACTAAAATCCATTAATTGTCAGGGAGGTCACTTACCTGGTGGATAAACTGAAATTCCTTTCTGATATGAAGGATTCCAGTTTCCTTCAGCAGGGTGCCCTGTCGCTGAATAAATGCCTTCTCCAAAAACTGCCTTGCGTTTCCTGCTTTTTTGGGTGATATTCTGGTAAATAGAAGGGTCATTCTCGTATAAATTGTCGGCGTACTCTGCAGAAAGAAAAGAAAAAACATATATATATATATATAACATTGCTTTTTGGTCATTTCAGTTTATAAATGAGTGTGTGTTTTATGAATCGTACAGTTACCTTGTTCGGGGACCGTTCCCATGGTTACATAGACTTCATTCACTCCGCATAGCGCATTTCCTGGAACAGGCCAATTTACTTGTTTATAATATTTATTAATTCAATTACGTTTTATCATCATCATCGTTATCTTAGTGCATACACGTAGGAATGCTCTCATAGTTTTTTTTAATAAGTATATTTTTACACAAGTGATCATGATTTTTGTCAGAATTTACGTTTTATGCTGTTACTTTCATTTACAGTTGAACATAACAGTGATGTGCGTCGCTCGCAGAGATAAATAAAATTTAAAAAACTTAATTTTCTCTCCTTCATTTATTAAATATACTTGTGTTAAAAATACTAAAACAATTGGTGCATATTTTGTATTATTGTATAGACAACCACTAGATATGAGCAATAAAGCGCTTTCATTGGCTACTCTACTACTAGGCATCAGCTCATATACCATTAGTAGAAAAAATTCAAAATGGCCGCAGACCGATTTGCTCAATTTTCTGAGAGAGAAAAAATCACCAAAAAACAAGCCAAAAGAAAAAACCAAAATAACTATTAATGGCCTCTTAAAAGCACATGGTTGWTGGAAACTCTTATTTTTTAACTTTTTAATTTGGAAATTTCTAGTGAAAAGCCGAACAAACAAAAACTAAAACACCAATAAAACAAATCATTTTTTAAAAATTAATAACAACAAAAGACCTTTTTTTCTAGACTGGCTGAAAAGCATATCTTAATTTGACAAATATATCAATAAGTTGAGTAAAAACAGAAAATTATT